GGAAATGTATACGTACACATACACACACACACACACACACACACACACACAACCAGCACTTCAGCAGCCCCTGTTAGGGAAAAGGAAGGGGAGAATAGAAGGAAGGTGGAAATCTAAAAAGAGTAAAGGGAATAAAGTAAAAAGAAAGTAATTAAAAATGGTATAGATCTGGATGAGAGAGCACACCATATTTGCACTTTGTATACCCCCTTTTCTTCAATTGCATAGCAGTAAGAGACAGAAACGTTAAAGAGACAGACCAGTAAGTAAGGTAATGCCTTGAATAAGGTATATTTACTTACTCAAATAATGTGATTGGAACCAAAGGCCTCATAAGCTCTAGGTCTGGAAGTGAACAAAGGTAACTGGGATCTCAGTTGGAGGGAGTGAGGGGAAGAAGGCACGTTAAGGGCTCCTGGTGAGAAAAAGGCCCAAGGCAGACTTGCTGGATGAGACAGAGCTGGAACCAGGGCTGCCCACTTGCTGTGGTTTACTAGAAGCTTCAGCCTCACGGAAATGGGCAGTTTTGGGGTACAAAAATGATGAGGTAACCCTGAGACATCTTTTCCTATCAGAAAGTAGAAGCTATTAAGAAATATTAGTGTTGAATAAACTTCTAGGAGCTCCCATTTGCCAAAGATGAGACAATCCAAGTATTAATATAGTAATTGCAATGGACTGAAATGTTCTTTAAAAATATCATCTCTTGGAGCCAGCAGGGGTGTGGTGGCTAAGCACTGGACTCCCACATGTCCAACTGAGGTTGAAATTCCAGATCTGGCGGCTTGCTTTCTCAATCTCTCAATCTCCCCCCACCTCATCCCTCTCAGATCAAATAAATTAAACAAATAAAATAAATCAAAATAATTCTTTAAAAAAATCATCTCTTGGGGGCTGTAATTTCTTGGTGTGGTTGTTATGGGTGCTGGATTCTCACATGGCCGACTGCAATTTGAGTCCCAGACCTGGTGGCTTGCTTTCTCACTTTCTCTCTCTCTCACTCTGTCCCTCTCTGGTCAAACTTAAAAATAAATAAAGTTAAATAAGTCTTTTAAGAAAACTATCCTTTGAGGCTGGCAGTTGGCATCATGGTTAAAAGTGCTGGACTCCCACATAGCTGACCATGGTTCAGGTCCTGGACCTGGCAGCTTGTTTTCTCACTTTCCCTCTCTCTCTCTGGTCAAATTAAATAATATAAAGTTGAATAAAATAATTATTTTAAAAATAGATTCATTTATTTATATTTATATATTTATATTTATAATCTCTTGAGCCAGCAGGTGGCATGAAGGTTAAGGTGGCTGGATTCCATATGACCAGCTGTGCAGTTTGAGTCCCAGATCCAGCAGCTTGAAAACCATGCTGGATACATGTGCATGCCCCAAATTATCAGAGAATATGAGGGATTGCAACATAGTCATCCCCCTGGGGGGTGCTTTCTCATTTCCTGTCCCCAGCAAACACACATGCCCTATAGATAATTAAGGGAAAAAATGTTTAATGCAATAGAAGTAATGGTTCACCTACGTGTGTGTGTGTGTGTGTGTGTGTGTGTGTGTGTGTATGTGTATGAACGCACTAGATCACAAATACGTAAAATGGATTTCTCATGTCGTCCACCAGTTAGAAGATTTCAAAGTCACTGGATTAGAATGTTTTAAGGGGCTTGGATGCTGAGGCCATTAAATGTGCCCCTATGTAGCCACACCAGTGAGCCCCACGGTAGGTACTCTATGCAGGGGAGAGAATCAAGGATGCTAAATTAAAGAATGAACATAAGGAAATTATCTTATTGTCCCTCATCTGACTCAAGACCCCCTTTGGAACTGCAGGAGAGGCTATAGAGGAAACATAGGACTTGTACACAGAAATTGTGAGAGCGCCTTAATCTGAGAGAAACTAATCTGAACCAGGTAGATATTTTACATCACCAGCCACAGAAAAGTCTAAGGCCACAAAGTTTCTTTTCTTTCTTTCTTTCTTTCTTTTTTAAAATAGATATTCGCTAGAGATACATGCACTCTCCAGAGAGACAGAAAGTGAGAAATTGTAACCTAGGGAAAAGGCCACACTGCAATTCCTTCTCCTCCATTCTCTTCTCAGGATTTTGAGTATGTGCAACATGCACCCAACCTGAGTTTCAATCTGGGACTCAAACCATGGTCAGTCATGTGGGAGCCCAGCACCTTAACCATCACATGATCTGGTGTCCCCAAGACCATTACTTTTTTAAAAATTATCTAATTTTATTTGTTATTATTTATTTTTTAATTTGACCAGAGATAACGGAGAGAGAAAAAGAAAAGTGAGAAAGCAAGCCACCACGTCCAGGACTTGAACCATGGTTGGCCAAGTGGGAATCCAGTGCCTTAACCACCACATCCGAAGACCATGACTTTTTAAAATAACCCATTTATGGAACCAGAAGATGGTGAAATGGTTACATCGCTGGACTCCCACGTAGTCGACAATGGTTTGAGTCCTGGACCAAGCAGCTTGAAAACTCACACCCAGCGCATGTGTGTACACTTTCTCTGTCTCTCCAGCAAGCGCATGCACCCTATAGCAAAAAACTCTCTAAAAAAATAAGCCTATTTACATGTTAAAAAGAAACAAGAGATGCAAGTAATTTACCTCTCTGTAGAATGAAGAACAAAATAAAGATTACAACAATTGCTGATGCCCAGCACTGGAGTGTGGGACCACTGGCATACACTTCCCTACAGCATTGGGAGTATATGTGGTGAGAGCCATTCGTGGTGGCAACTGAGTGAGCTAACATCCAAAAGTTAAATATGTACACCCTTTGACCCAGCAAAACACTTCCAGGACTTCATCTCATTTAAAAAGAAATATTAAAAGTCTACATAACCACCCAAAGACAAGGTGAAAAAGAATCTATGTGTAACACTGTGGAAGTAAGAGATTAAAAGCAAGGACACATTAACTGAGTAGTTACATAAATTATGTTTCACCCATAGAATGCAATGTTATGATACGAGTTAGAATGATTATGATAGCTCTGTCAGGTAGGAAAGAATGTCCACAGTAAATTGTTAAATTTCAAAAAGCTAGTTGGAATACGTAAAGTGTGTTCACAGTTTTAAAATATTTCCAGAGAAGATATATGCCAGGAGATCATGGTCACTGGATGTGGCATGATTCCATAGGTGAAGACACATTTTTTTACTGCTGCAATTTTTACAGCTGGCATGTATTTTATAATTAGGAAAAAAACTAAATGATGAACAAAGATCATAAAGCTTTATTTGATATAACCAAAAATTTCAAAATACTTTATCCTATATGTAGTCAATTAAAAAAGAGAGAGAGAGAGAGAGAGAGAAGGAAACGCCTGAAGAGATTAAGTGACAATGTCAGGAATCAAATAAGAGGTTGAGAAAACAGGAGCAAGAAAAAAAAACAAAAACAAAAACGAAGGTGGGTGAAGGGGAGATGGATACTCAGGGCCTCTGACTCCTTAAGTACCACTTTTTGTGGGTCGTATCCCACAGGTCACAGGCTTCATTCCCCCTTGGCAATGAATGGTGTCTACTTTTTTCTATGACTATAGTATTGAGGAGTTTTTCTCTCCATAAACTAATTGGATGGAAAATCAATGGTAAGTTCTAGCATGGAATCATTGTTTTTTTCTTTTTATGAACCAAACTATTCCTCATTTCTTGCATTTGAAATAGTCTTAGGTGGGTGATTTCTTGCTTTCTGTCTCTATGTCTCTCTCTGTCTGGCGAGCACACGCGCCCTATAGCGAAAAAAACCTCTCAAAAAAAAAAAAAAAAAGTCTTAGGTGACATCTTTAGCCTGAGATTCTTCACCATGGTCCTTAACTACTACACAGTTGCTACCAATCACTTTATGGGTTTTTCCCTCTGTCAGTTTTACAGAAGGCTACCCATCCCCTTAGTTTCTTGTAATCAACCTTAACTAGGTAGATTTAGGGTTCAATACAAAGGGCCTGACATACATAGGTTCATCACAGTTGGATGCAAGCACACACAGATTGGCTTGGTGCTAGTCTAAGGCTTCAGCAACTTTGCAAATTCCATGTGCTAAGCCATCACGATGACAGCGGTCTTCAGAACCTCCTGTAAAGCAGTATCAACATCCATTACCTTTCCAGCAGCAATGGCCTTGGCCTTGGCAGTGGGTTACAGGTGCAGCTGAATCTTGAATGCACTGGAGCCTCCACTTCCATTCAACTCAATGGCAGCAGAGAATAAACCATGTAGCTTTTCTGAGTAACTTTAAGATCCTGAAGGTCATCCATTTTTAACTAGATCTTAGTGTTCATTTGCCACTCAAGTCTGGGTTTTGTGTGTGTGTGTGTGTGTGTGTGTGTATGTGTTTCTTTTTAGTTGAAACACTATACTGTTCTGATACCTCTAATTCAAATCTGAAAATAAAATTTACTTTGTAATTCAAAATTTTCAAACTCAAAGGGAAAGGGTGGAAGTCATATCTGATAGTGGGGATACCACGTAATTAAGAACAAAAATCAGTAGTTTAAAGGAAGATGTTTTAGGACCCTGGGAATGTGCATCTTGCCCTGACACTGGAGCACATGAGCCCTGGATAAACCCCTATGGGACTGGGGCCCCTCAAGACAACCCCAGGCATGCATCTGGACCACCATAATGGGGACCTGGGCCTTCTGTGACTACTGGGAAGTTGGTCCAACCAGTGCTAAACACAATTACACAATTACACCACATTACATCCTATAATAGGTGTATGCATTACAAGTGTGTGGCAGTGCAGGCACCTCCCCCCTCCTCAACAAGGATTGGTGGATACAGGCTGCACAGGCCATACCCATGTGGGGCTGACTACTCATGGGGTCATCCTTCATCCTGGGACCAATTCTACTTTCTTGAACGAGAACCCCCTAAAAGGTGTTTGCAGAAACAAGATGGACCTGAGGCCTTCGAAAGCCTCCTTTGGCAGGCACCAAGGAGTAGCAACAACACAGAATCCAGAAAGCTTGTTTCTTCACTCTTTATTAAAGCTAGGTACTCCTGCTGACAGCTGCAGGGCAACAGCAGCTGTGATCCAAGAGGGTTGGGGACAGTGCCAGACCCTAGCCACATGGGGATAGGCCTGAGATGCCCTGAGCTCTCCCAGCCCACCCTGTCCTTGGCCCTTTCTGGGGCTCTGTCCCACATATACAGGAGAAACCAGAACAGAGAGGTCATCACCCAGCACTCCTGGGACCTGCCTCCCTGTAACCCTGGCCTCCCTCACCTCCCCACCCAACTTACCCAGCCGGGCTAACTCTTACCATCACCACCCAGGCCCTCTTCCCACCCACCTACTACTGTGCCTCCTACCCCGCCCCAGTCCCTAGCAGCCTTGCTGCTGGCCCTTAGCCCCCAAGGCCATGTCTACACTAAAACGTAAGGAACTAGGTCTAAAAGGGAATGCAGTTGCTTCAGTATGTTTTCTGGCCCCACTCACTCACACTGGCCCAAAAAGCAAGGAAGGGAGGACTTGAACGAGCCATGCCTTGGCCACCTGCCCAGTAGCTCTCAATGGCCCTGAGGGGGGATGATGGGCTGCCACAGGCAGAGGCCTTGCATAGTTGGGTGCTCGGTTTGTCACCAAGCCATGGGTGTGTCTTCCTCTACCCCCTCAGATGCTGACAGCCACTGTGTGAACCATGAGACCTGCAGTGTTTCCATGACTGATCTGCGAAACATGAATTAAACAGAAACACCACTTGTTTCTAGTGTAATGAAAGAAACAGTTCGAGACCTGTAGATGTCGTAGAGCCCTTATCATGGCATTTGACAAACCTCAGTTGCAGTGTAAAGGGTTGTGCTCAGCAGAATGGGGCTCGATGTATCCACCTGTAGCCCAGGGAATTGAAAGCTGGGGTCCAAGCCTATGAGAGTCTGCACAGGGCACCCCGGAGATGTCTGGGTGAATATGGCACCTCCAGCTGCCAGAGGTAAGTACCTATGGAAGCTGAGTAGAAAATGCAACAAGTTTAGCTAGAGCCAGGCTGACCCTGTATTCTGTGGGGTGAGGAGAGTTAGTGACCAGAGAATATGCTTCAACTCTCTAGGGACCCTGGAAACACCTGTAACCTATACACCCTGGTCACAAATTTGGTTTCAGGCTTTTTCTCCTCCCAGATTCTTCTGGCCACACAAAGATGGAAATAAATTTTCCCGGTCAACAGAAGGAAAGCTTTTCTAAGTGCATCTCCATCCACCCAGGTTAAGGAGGAAGACTGTCCTTCAGAAACTTAAAAGGCTTCCCCTCCCCACAGGCGCAGTTCTTAAACTCTCTGGACCTACTCGAATGACCAGAAGGCCCCTGAATCTCCCACTGAGGAAAGAGAAGGAGTCGCTAGCCAAAACCCACTGGCAGCCCAGACACCAGCACTGACCTGCAGGAGCAGCCAGATGCTCTTCCCTCGTCCACCCCTCCCTCCCCTTTGACAGAAGGGTTTCCCTCCCTTCCTGTAAAACCCGGTTACAAACTTGTAAGTCACTTGTTCCCTGGGCCACCCAAATTGGAATCTGAGTAAAATAAATAGCACTGCCTGCTGTCCCTACCGCTTTGCTTCGCAGCACAGAACCAGGGGCGTCGCAGTCCTTGTCGGGGTGGCCGCCCCGTCCCTAGCCGCCTCCATGCGTTGCTCTTCTCTCCCTGCTCTCCACGCCTCCGTCCGAGGCTCCAGCGCAAAGGCCAGGTCTTCTAGGCCAATGGGAGAGAAACCCGAGGCTGTGGGGCGGGGGCCGGCGCGCCAGGAACTGAGAGAAGGCACCGCACCCAGGACTGGGATCCTCAGCCTCCTAGGCCAGAGGAGCGAGAGGCTGGCCTGTGCCCGAGCCACCCCGGGGAGCACCCGGTGGCCTCGCAGGCTGCGCTTCAGTCGGCCTCGGCCCCTCACAGGACGCTCTCCTCGTAGGAGCCTGAGGGCCGGGAGAACGCGGCCGATGGCTCAGAGCCGAAGCTCGTCCCGCCTGCGAACTCCAGCAGGGTGCTGCCGCGCTCCGCCTGCCCGG